GTCTGAAAATTTTGACTTCTGGGGGCAGATCGTGATGGCCGGGAAGGGAAGAACGTCCCGTGGCTCCATCTAGAGGGTAATCGAAGCGAATGAGAGGGTTTCGAGAGGGTTTAGACACGATTGAATGCGTCGATATCGTTCCACCTTGGTGATGGTCGTCGTCGGGCCAGACGTGTATGCTTTGACGATGTCGATGATGTTGGAGATCATGTAGCAAGATGCGAGGAGAAATATAAGAAACCAGAAGAGTTTCCTCAAGAGAGAGGATTCCGGGTAGACGGAACGACCCAGCGCCTAGTGGAGATATTCCAAAATTGCATCGTTCCATGGGTAAATATGAAAATGTTATTTACCATGCGTGATCCTTCATTATACTTAGGGGCGGTAGCATAGATTTTGACACGAGCCTATTTCACACAGGGCCCAAGAGCGATTTCTTCCTATTGCGGATCCAATATTATGAAACGGTTCGGTGAGAACTCTCGAGACTCTCGCATCGGACTAATTGCATTGTTGTTTTTGCTGTCGTCTCGGAGCTGGGATCTAAAGAAATTACCTCCAAAATTTGCCGAAAATTGAAGGCTCATGGGAATCGAGGTAGGGTGCATTAATGGCTAAGTAATAACGTTCTGAAGAGAACGGAGACTGGAGGAGCGTCAGAGGAGGGAAGATAAGTTAAAATCCGTCATTAAACACGAATCCGTAAATGTGCCCTTGTAAAACATTCCTATAGGATCCTATAAGGTTTGTGAAACATAAAAATCGTATAGAATTCCTATAAGAATACTATAGGAATCCTGAACGGTTTTATGTTTCGAATATCTCAAAGGATTTTATAGGATTTTTTCGTGATGGTGTTGAGAGGACTTTAACGGGATTTGATAATCATAAAAGAGTCAATTTTACTTGAGTTTTGTCTATAAACGTTGGGAGTCATCTCATTTGAGAAGAGGCGAACGTTAAGGGCTTCCATCAAATGTTTTCTCACCATTAAGGATCGATTGTGATAGAAACTCGAATTATGTAATGTGACGCATTGAGATAACGTGACGTGTAACGGTTGCCTCTACCGTGACTAAGAAGAAAACTTGGATAGAAGAAGACTGGGTTACATTTCCCATGCTTCATCTCGATGGAACCCTTTCCTTAAATTCGTCTTATTTTAAAAATAACTGCGAACGAGACACTCACATGTCCGGTGAACCTGGTGAGGAATCTCCGCGTGACAGGACGAAATCCGACGGTCTCTCCCCCTTCGTCTTCGAACTGGATCACGGCCTCTCCGCCCCTCGCCCCATCACCCACCGGGCCATTTCCTCGAGGCAGCCCCATCGGTCGTTCGATCGGACCGAGTCGCCCCGAAGAGATGCCGAGACGGAGATAGCGAAGTTGAAAGCCGGAGATGCTTCCAAAACGCAGTGGAGATTTCATACGCGGGTTAGGAGGTGAGCCGCGGTGCGACTGGAGGCTATTCGAGACCTTATACGCCCAAGCGATCGCGGATTTATTAGAGAAGAGGGGGACAAGGGCTTATGGGCTATGTGCACCTTGATGAGAAATAAATCCGTGGGCCCATCATTCCCGATTGCTGCCCTGATTAACGTAATGGCTGGCAATCATAAATATTGTATTATGTTTTTCTTCGCTTCGTCCAGCCTGGTCGACATGAACAGTTCTACGATCGCGAGCATGAAGGATCATAGTCACGCAGAGTACCATTGTCCAATTTATTTGTAATTTAATGATGTAATTTTACACATTTGCAATACAAGGGGGGCCATAAACATTCCCACCAAAGCAAAAGCCTTGTATTTCCTGTACCTTCTCACGGAATCTATTTCATCTCATTAAGACACAACGGCTCGGAGTAACTCCTCACAAAATACGTTTTCACTCCTCTTCCGCCACGAAACCTTGTCCAGTTCAGGTCACTGCATTTCATTCATGGGGCACTTGCGTTCACTTCGCGTACAGTAATCCATTTGGTAACGGTCAAAGTTTGTGTGGGGGTCGTTCGTAGAATTTCACCGTTTCTGGCTCATGGTGAACCTGACACTCTTGTTGTCCTTAAGCCATTTTTAGGCAAAGAACAATTCTTGCTAAAATAGCACAGGTTGACGAAAGACACTCACAATAACGTTAAAAAAATTATAAAATTTTATTTGCTGCCATTAGGCGCACAAAAATTGAAAAGTTGCCAGTGGTATAATGGCCCACCCATGCCCACGATCCACAAACTCGCAGTGTGGAGAGGTACTTAGCATGCCAAATTCATAAGGTAAATATGCATTTGAGTATTTTGCGCACAATTGAAGGGTGACTGATCTGCATTAATTTCACCCTTCGGTATCCTTTCTGCTAATTCCCTTAAAATTATTAATACTTGTTGCGTTGGAAGTCTTTCCCGTTCCGAGTCCATTGAATTCATTCCTGTCGAAATAAATTCTGTACAACTCCGTCGTGCGAAAAAATGTTTTCCCTCACCAGAAATAGCTGCAGAAAAAAGATGCAGGTAAATAAATAGGGGCAAGACAGGCTCTCGCAACGCATTAAGTCGTTCCGCTCGGCGTCGTCCCGTTTCCCAAAGGCTTCAACTAACGCACGAGGAAGAAATCGGAGATGGATGTATCCTCTTGCCCATGACCTGCCAATGGGCGAAATGCTTAAGAAGATGGGATGGAGCCTCCTCGCTCTTCGCCTCGCATGCCGACGAGGCTCGTGATGCTCGCGAACGTCGCAATCGGGAGGCGAAATCTCCAGTTATCGTAATGAGAGGACGGTCGGGAGGAATAAAACGAAGCAAACAAGGGCATGTGCGTGTCTACAAGCAATATTCCTAATTATTGAGTTTGTTTGCCCTTCAGGTGAACAAACTCGCTGTGGTCGCGTCTTCGGCGCTCCTTTATGTAGGATAGTCATTAAATCATTAATTCATTATAGAAGTTGCAGATCATTAATTCATTTTCGAAGTGGCCCAGATTTTTTTTCGAAGTCATTCCTACGATGATTTCTCGTGTGCCCAACGTCAAATATATTCACTTGCCCATTTTTTTAAATTAATCTTGAAACACTTCCCTTCTGTAAACCGCCCCGAGGGGACATATATCGAAAGTAGAAATTTTCTTCACTCACCTATACACCAAGTACTTCTGCGGAAAGTTTCAACTTTCTATCTTTCTATCACCCCCCCCCCCTATTTCGTGGCATGAAAAGAGATTCTGGAAGATGCACCTCTTCGAAAAAATAAGGTGTACTAAGATGTTTTACATAAATAGTACGATTTTTTTGCGTAAGTGATGCAGTTCTACAAGTCATGAGCGCTCGCTGGTTTGATGTGATACAGTTTAGAATTTCTCCACATGTAGAAAATTAATGTTATATCTGATGAGTAAGCAGCCAAAATATTGCCTCATATTGACCTGTCGATCTTCCAGGAGAAATTTATGCTTTGCCAAGCTTAAATGTTGGAGTGACTCGTAAACCTCCATTCAAACTGCATTTTTTCTACGCTCTTTCAAATACAATTGGACTTATTCGTTTGCAGTCACTTCATTTATGCATCATCGGCAATCAGCTCGAAAGGCTGTTTTCTTCAATTATACCTAGGTATATTGACATTTTTGGCATTTCAAAATTAGGCAGGAATGATTAGGGAGTAAATTGCTCTTATTCCTTCCATAAAAATAAATGCTAGTTTTACAGCCTCAAAAACTTGAGATGTACATAGTTTCATAATACCGCTAGGATTCCTTGAACGAGCGAAATGGGCTAAACTCAGATAAACGCTCTCACCTGCTGTGAGAGCATGAAATGAAGTGGTGTTGATGCTGAAGTGGCACACCTGGCTAGAAACTTACGATTCAGGTAGCATGGGTTTGAATTATTCACTTTCAAAGAGAGCCTAACAACCAAATCAGTATTTGAAGAAAGCTGTTCATTGCAGTATTGAATGCATGGAATTTCGTGAATGAACTGGCGAAAGGTGGTATGGCTGTATATCCTCCCCACTATACATCAATACGCATTTTTGCTTTTTCATAGAGGAGAATCTCGGTTGCGAAGAAACCGTGGTATTTTGTGTTTGTGTGTGACAGCTCTACAGGCCAAACGCTTCGAAATACTGACTGATACTTTTTTTTTTTAAGGAATCTTCCTTGTCATCTTCGGATATGCCTCTCTGAAATGAAATATATAGATTGGCCTCATGAAAAGGGGGGATTGCTACTACCGTGGAAATTCGGAAACTCTCATCTCACCATCTTCATTATAGACGAGAAAGCGAGAGTAGGCGCTGAACTAGTCAAGGGTGGCATCGTTTACCGCACTGCTTCCAGCCTGCTGCGTGAATAGAAGGATTTATAGCGTCCTTAGAAATTCGGGGCCATTCAACCTATATTGGTGAGTCAGTGGGTAAAACCTATATTGGTGTCGTCGGCAAATTTACTTATCTTACCATCTACGCCGAGATCCAAATCGTTTATGTAGACCAAAAACAGAAGCAGTTGGAGGACCTCGCCTTGAGGGACACCGCTTGAGACTCCGACCTCCTTCGACGCTTCCCCATTCGTCATTAAGAGTGCACTTTCGTTCTTCGAAGAGCAATTCTATCTCGTTCACACTCTCGGCAATTTCATGTCATATAAGTATTCTCTGCTGTCATAGCCACCTCGTGCTATTCCCCCCAGCAATAGACTAGGGAAACTGTCCACGAATCCATTACAGATTCCAATATTTTTTGTTTTTCTAATAGTAGATACAAAATGTTCTGCTTATTCCAACCTCGTCCACAGCAAAAAAAAGTTTGTTTTGCTAAAATCAATCGGATATCCGTTTCGAATTTCCGTTCCTCTTGACCTCTTCTCCGTCAAGTTCTCCGTCAATGACCATTATATTCTCTCTTAATAGAAGTGTGCACTCGAAATGGCCATCGTAAGTCCGTTCCAAAGATATCCATGGTGACTCGAGATTATTAGTGCCATCCTTTCGGCAGATTCTTCGAGATGGCCGGTGTCGCGAGGAAGTTCGTCTTACTCGTGTGGAAGAATCTGTTGGTGCGGTGGAGGCATCCGATACTGACCGGCTTGGAGGTCGTCATCCCGATCCTGATCTGCGTCGTCACGTTTCTCTCGTATGGAGAATGTAATGTAGACAGCAGGAATGCCATGGACCCGGTGATCTACCCGGTGAAGACCGAAAGAGATCTTCTTCAAGGAATTTGGGAATATTCATGGATTCTCCTCTTCGCCCCGAACGAAACGGAAGTGGCTCGAAACGTCACGGACTTGTTGCGGGAAACCCTCGGGCCGAGTCAGTTCTCCGATTCGCTAGAATTCCCAGGCTCTACTGCACCGGAGAAGAAGGCCAATCCTTCCAGAAAATCTCATTAAGTTAAAGCTTGAATAAGCGGCTATTTCACAATCCGGAAATGTCAAATGCGAAGCCAAGGGCCCAAGGCAAGGTCAAAAAGCAATGTATTCCGCTTAAACGTTTCTTTATTGAGGAATACTCTGAGGAAAAGTACTTCATAAAGAGCTCGACCCTTCAGAGAGGTTCTTCCAGCCTCACTTCTCCTATAATTAAGGAACTTCAGAGTTCTCTTAGATTTGCAAAAAAATTTCGACAACCTTAAAGTTCTTCTTGTTCTCTGTAGTCCTGAAGACGCAATCGGTGAAGTGAGGAAAGACCATGGATCATCAACAGACACTTTTAACGTTTTTTTTAGATTAGTATAATTATGAGATCTGCCATGACTTTCACGCATGCAACAGCACGGTGGATTCACCCACTGACAAAGATACCATGGAATCGACATAACTTGCTGAATACTTCGGCATCGTCATATTCTTCGACTATTTTTCACATCTATTGTGGCTATTGTTTGCTTACTGCATTTTAATTCATATCCGGAGGCATGTTCAATAAGTAAGGTAACAAAGTCTGCTCTGGCTAAGTTATTGCTCGGATCGAGGTACTCGTTTCGTAGCGTAGTGCATCAGTGATGGCTGCATGCGCAAATTGTTTAATTCTGCGCATGCGTGACAAGGTAGTTCAGTTGCGTCCCTCTTAGAAACGTGGTCAATCGTTGAAATGCGGAGTGGCGTTCGTTTCCTTCATTCAAGAGACACGACTAGAGACGTTCATCGCCAACTGGTCGGACTCAATGGGGAAAATGCTCGGCCATCCGTCGTCAACTTCCCGGTCTTCTTCGTCAAGGCGTCATTTTCTCCCATGATAATGCGAGGCGTCACACATCCCACACAGACCCTGGCACTGCTGGAATACACCCCCTAAGATTTCCAATTCCTGTGTGAGGGAGTTTCTCCTCGACGAATGGCTCCTGTAAGTCTCTTCAGAGTCTCACCATAGCGGGCATAGTTTGCTCTTTTTCCAGAAATTCGACCAGCTTGTATTGTCACTCACCGGGAATAAGCTTTGTCGAGATATCTAGCGAGCTGACGAATTTCCACTTGCCTGTCCGTTAATCCTTCCGTTAATTTGCACGAAATTCTCATCTGTTGACGAGGTGTTCGGTTGACCCTGTCCTTGTTCATCGATGACGCTCGTTCGCCCAAAATGCTTCACGACACACTCATTCCCCTTTTTCGTGACCTGGCAATTTCTTCATGAACCCCTGCAAATTATCGATGAAACTCTGCGGGTGTGGTGTCTCGCGCATGAAGAAAACGAATAACACTCCGCACTTCGATGGTTGACCACGTTTCTAAGAGGGTCGCCATTTTAATGAGTTTGTTATGCATGCGTCGAATTACACACAGCTACCAATCCAGGCGTGCATTAGAATCCTCACCATTTCTGTACTACGCCACGAAACAAGTGCCTCGATCCAAGCAATAACTTAAACGCAGCAGACCTCGTTAATTTACTTTTTGAACATGCCTCGTACCTTTGCAATTTCAAGGCCTTAAAAATGCATAATACGATTTTTTCTTCCCTCTGTCCTTCTGCCAACAAATCCCTTCTGATGCTATGAATCCCCTCCGACGTGCTGAATCCCTACTAATGCCGCGAAATCCATATGGATCGAACCCACTTTCCTCCATCAGGTAACATCCGGACCTTTCGGGACGAGGACGACCTGCTGGCGTTCCTAGAGTTGAACAACGTATTGGAAGGACCGGACTTCGTGTATGTCAGAGGCGCAGTCGTGTTCCTCGGTAACACGACCGACACGTCTTTCGACGATGAAAAATTACGTTATAAAATCAGGACTGGCTGGAGAATCTCCGCCTCGCTCTTCGCCTCTTCTTTTGACCAATACCGATACAAAACCAAATACTATGGAGGTAAGCAGTATATCCTCAGATGGGGAGGGTGAGATCAAGGTGGTCTTTGACAGCGCGCGTGAAAGAGAGCACAAAACTAGACCCCAGTACCACTGTATGATGCAGGGTTCTCCCCTTCAAACCTAAAATTCAACTCACCGTGATAAATTGCAAAAGTTCATAACTGGTGAATATCGTATTGTAAATTCTGATTTCGATTCTCGCGGTCATGTTCCTCGGGGACGAGAATGAAACATTGTGCTATAAGATTCGGACGACTCAAAACTGAATGACCTCGCTCTTTTCTTAATCTTCATTACTGCTTCAAAGACTATCAAGGTGAGGAATATATCCTTTGATGGAGAGGGCGTGTTCAATATGGTCTCTGACAGAGCGCGTGAAAGGTAGTAGAAACTAGACCCCAGTACTACTGCATGATGCAGGGTATCCCCTCCGAAACTAATAATGCAACTCACCTTGATAAATTTCATGAGTTAAGAACTAGTGAATATATCATACAATTTCTGATCTGCGGCTTTGTTCTGTTCCTTACAGATAATTACTTGAATGAATTCATTCCCATTGAACTGCTCGTGAACAGTGCCTGGATCAGAGCCAAGCAGGGTTGGGGTCCGTTTTCAAAGAATCTTTCAGAACCGATCTTCAGGGAAGCCATGGTATGAAATATAACCCTTTAAATTCCAATGCCATTCCAGTGTCGGGCATATGCCACTTACCGCCTCCCACATTTTAGTTAACTTTATGATAGATCATCGCTTTACAAGCCAGTCAGTCTGTGGTCTGGCAGACAGTCTATTCGATTAGAAAATTCGGAGACGATATGATGCAACGCGTAACGTGCAAAATTAAGAAAAAATTATCATTAGTTACCATAGATTTTGAATTTAATCGTTGACTTCAATGCTAACCAGCCATCTCTTAAAACGGACTATAATTATCCCAAGTAGCACACTCACGTTGAATCATCATTGATTCAACGTCATTTCGTCAACGCAGCTAACGTTGAAACCACGTTGCCTGTCAACATAGATTCTATATTGAAAGTTCATTTTCATCAACAATTGATTCAACGTTGACATCAACTGTATAACATTGATTCAGTGTTCAAAACCAACATTGCAACGTTGCTTCAACATTGAATAAATATTGAATCCACGCTAGTTTAAGGTTGATATGACAGGCCTCACCAATCTCCTCCATTCGGGAGCATGCACCTTTTCATGACTGAAGTAATATTGAATATCATCTGGACACGATCTCTGTCCTCCGAATCTTCTTTTTTAAGAGTACCCCCCATCCAAGGACTATGCGAACTTAATACCGAGATGAGAAAGAGACATCCTGTTCCCTGGAAGCAGGGTGACAACCGTGTGATTACTGTGATGCAATTGGAGGCATCCCTCACTCCAAGAATCCTTTGGCAGTAGTCATTATTTGGCTTCATTCTCGAAGACAGGACTTCATGGTCTCATGGAGAATTATGACCTAGCAAACTTTTTTTTCCCATCACCCTGTCCAGAATTATCCTGGGTCCTGTTTGGTTGAGATGCCTCTTAGGTCGAAAATATCTAGGCAGTCAAATACCTTTCCCGGCGTCGTTTGTGGAGAAAACATCAAGTACTGCTCCAAAAGTACTAGAGACGCGTACCGAATGCATGAATACGGTAACTATGTTGGGCAAGTAGTCGCCATCACACTTCGCGGTCAGGAATGTCATGGTCTGTAATGCCTGCCGCTGGCAGTGTAAGTGCGATAAGCTTGGGTCGTCACCCTCACCCTACGATTTGCATTCAGATTTTAACCTCTACCAACGCAAATTTATTTTACATATATTTTGCTTCCACGAAGATCGAACCTAGTACGCGCTTGAATTATGCGACTGTGGTTCGTAGCATACCTCTTTCTCTCGTTGTAGTGCTAGGGATGACAAAATAAATATATCGAGTTTCGTGGTGTTGTTGTAACACTTTTGCAAAAGAATCAGCAAGTTTATGATTCGATTCCTGGTCGCGTCATTTTGTTTATAGTTTTCTCATGCTACCCGAAATCTTCCCCCACCCCTCTCGGGCTATTATGTCCTCTAGAATAGATCCGACAATCGCAAGTGCCGGAAGAAAAAGTGCTTGCCCGCGAGAGGGAGACGTAGAACCTAAGCAGGCAGTCCTCACCGCACATGCGTACATGGACTTACGGACTTGCACATATACCCAAGCATCGGAGGCTTCATATGCACGAAAGCAGCTTCATTGCGTTTTTAATATATGGGAAGGATCACACTGATCCAGCCTCACAAATGCACTTTCGTTCATTAGTAAGGGAAATGCTTAGATTTGAACATGTCTTAGTCAATCGATTAATCGGTTTTTTTAAATATATTTATTTATGATTTTTCTTGAATCATCTTTTTCTAACTTTTCGTTTGTATTGAGACAATTCCACCATGCTAGATGCTCGCGAGGATTTTTTTTTTGCTTGTTTGCTGCGATAGACTTTAAGTCAGGTGTCATTAAAGGCGCCTTCTTCTCTGCCCTAAATCAAGCATTTTCCATGATCGCAATGTATTCTGGTCCATTGACTACGAACCATGATGAAATACACGCAAAAAATCCTAACGATAGATAAAAAACAAAGGATTTTGTACTGCAAAAGAATCCATTGAAACGAGGTTGATTACATGTTGACACTTCAACTGTGAATAGCGCAGCATTGAATCAATGTTTAGTCTATGTGGGTGCATAAACGGTGACGGTCGCCGCGTTGAATAGATGTTGATTCAACATGGAGGTATAAACCATCAACAGAGATACATTCAATCCACACCAAATCAACATCGAATCAATGTTATGTGCTACCTATATTACTAGCTATAATAGTTATGGTCGTGCCTTCGGCGCTCCATAGTCCATGTTTGCGATACTTTTATAAATTTATTTCGTAAGCGGCAAAAACGCATTAAAAGTGTGTGCCTGTCGAAATGCTTGCCGAGAGAGAAAAAAACAAAAATTTTCATCGAAATAATTACTCGGATAATTTTTTGTGTGCCTAACTTCAAATTTTTTCCTAATCCGCCCTGAGGGGTCAAATTTGAAATGTTGGATCTGCGCTCAGCAATCGAACAGGTACGTCCTCTTCAAGTTTCAACTCTTTTTAGTCGTCTCCCACTCATTGGATGAGAAAAGATTCCGGAAATTTTACCTTTTCCCCAGATATGCGCCCTCAGGCGTTTTACCTAAAATTAATTTTTTTTTACAGGAATCCTTTCTCAGAGAACTACTTGCCAACGAAATTTCAGTTTTATTCTTTTGCTCTTTTTTGCTGGTGAAAAAATATATTTGGAAAAGCCGATTCAACCTAAAGCTGTGCCCTGAGATATGCAGGACAAAATTCACAAAACTTCAACATTTTCTGAACTCATCATCACCTCAGTTATTGGTTGCCAAATTTCTGTTTTCTATTCCTATCTGATTCAATAGGCTAATACAAGAAATTGATTTGCAAACGTCACTCGCGAGAAATATGCCCCGGGGCATGCATCCATATCATGAAAGTTTTCCTGAACTCAGAGTCTCAGTAGGTACGTCCGTGTCATGTTTCAGCTTTCCATGTTTTTCCGTTTCACTGAAGCAAATATATATCATTGAAAACATATCTCCTCAAAATCGGTGTCCCCGGGCATGGACCTCCAAAGCCGGATTTTTTCTTGACCCTGCATCCCAGTATGTTCTTGTGCACCAAGTTTCTGATTTCTAGCTTCTTTGGAACATGGTTAGAATTAGCGCCAGTCACTCTCAGTCACTTACTCACGATCGTCCGTACTGGATGTCCCAAAATGTATGGAAACATTTAAAAAATTAATATCTCACTAAATTATGCCTCAAATAAAATGATGGAAACAGTCAAATGAAGTGCAAGCAAAACATGTTTCAACCTGTTATTGCAATTCCTCATGGGCACTATTTGTGGCTCTGTTGACGTTCACACGATATTCAAGTACTTACCAAAATTTACGCAGTGTGAAGTATAACTGGATAGCTGCATCAATTCTGTTCTTCAGATCAGATTGGAGATTACTTTCCCAGAAAAAGTTGACAATGTCCTTCATATAGCCCCATAATAATAATAAATCCAAAAGGGATGGGTTCAGGCACAATAATAGTCTAATTTTCTAAGATGTTGCAACTCCGTATTTTAGCAAGGAGAAAAAAAATATATGTGGATTGGACAAAGCAGGTTCATTCCATGGCCACCAAGATCACCTGAACTAACCCTAGAGGACATTTTCTTGTGGGCTATGTCATGGACATCGCTTACTGGAGAACAGTAGACAATCGATCAGGATCCGAAGAATAGTATCGTCCGAGCTATCCTGATAGTTATGCCTAACACTCTGCAAAAGGTGTGGTAAAAGCTGGAACATCGTTTAGACATCTACATAATCACAAATGGTGCCCATGTGGAATTGCAATAGCAAGTTGAAAAATGTTGTGTATACACTTAGTGGACATTGAAATATGACTACCCCCCCTAGAAAAAAGCACGTCGGAGCGAACGCAGTCACCAATTGATGCGTGATAGTGGGTACAGCTAGCACAAAGTGTTATTAAACAGCATGGGCATGGGCGTGCTTTTATTCCAATGGCACATTTCACTTTCTATCAGTTGAGGGCGGGGGGGTGGTCCGGTTTCATTGTCCATTGAGTGTAAATAGGTTTCTTGTTCGTTGAATAGGTGGCGTTACAACAGATGCCATCCTCGGAAGACTTTCCGGACACGAATATCTTCATCCTGGCGATCCCTCTGTTGACGGTTGCTTGCTACCTCTTCTTAATACCCGTCCAGCATCTTAGCATCGTCCGGGAGAGACAATCCGGTATCAAGGTATGCACCAGTATCAAGGAATGCATTGAGATCAAGGTATGCCATTGCAGGCACACTCGTGATGTTACTGAGCGTTCTTCAAGAGATGCAAGCAGAAGTGCATCGAGGGAACGCTCCGAACTTGGCAATAACGAATTTAATTGGGAATTCCTAATAATAACAACTCACTTTAAAAGATGTCATGATAATAAGCAGGAAGAGAAAATGTATATTTAAAAGGACTTTTTGCCTATGACTTAATCGGAAATCTCACTCTGATCGACGGAGTAGGTACGCAATATATATGTAATAAATACCTTGCGTATTCAAAATGTATTATTTAGGTAAGGTATTTAGGTAATCACTAAATAGGTAATCACTAGGTGGAAATGCAATAGGAGCTGATGAAGATGATGGGGATGTCACGGAGCCAGTACTGGCTGAGCCACTTCGCAAACGGGATCCTGTCTGTCATCCTCGTTTCCATCATAGCGATCGCGTACCTCAGCTTCATCGGATGCCTGCCCCATTCCGACAAGTTTCTCATATTTCTACTCTTCTTCCTCTTCGGCCTCGCCTCTCTGGGATCCAGCTGTCTAGTCACCACCATCTTCCAGAGATGTTAGCCTCATCCTTTCGAGGAAATTTGCTTTGAAATGAAACAATCGTGCGCTATCACAAGACCCCCTTCCTCCAACTAACCAGAAATTCATGAGAAATAGTGATTTTTTTGTTTTTGTGGCAATTCTCAGAAATTTGACTGAGGATATATTTTCTCCTGCTCTGGGATGTTAGTGCAAAATAACTTCTTGATACGGTAATATATTCATAAAGAGTAATGTGCAAACCAATTTTCAAAGTTTTTCCCTTTCTTCAACCACAACTCCTCCCTTCCACCCTACTCTAGGAACTACATAACGTAAGGCTATGCTTAACCGTCTTCGGGGTCTGACCTAGGCCTACCTTTTTTCGATCAAAAGAAACTCAATCCTTGACCTTACGGGGCCAATTGGGCTTATAATGATTGATCTGTGGCTTTCGAAATACCTCGTCGAGGACGTCTAAGGATAGGCCTATCACAGTCTCTCATGCCCCATTTCAGACAGGACGTTAGACCGATTGAAGATCTTTTTCGTCCTTCATGAAAGATAACAGTGCGAATGTGGAACATTAGGCTTATCCAGAGTTCCTGGGACCGCCTTGACTCTTACCATGGAGAAAATGCCTTTAAAAAGCGCGACATATAAACAGGCCATCATCATGTTAATTTAGGGATGCTTGGTTCGATTATGCGTTGTGAGTGGAAGAAGCACGCTAAATTTCGTTAATGTTGGTATTCTCAGAGAGGAATACGAAGAGGTTGAGTTTTGTTGCGAGGAGGGGTTGAAGAAAGGTAATACGGGCTAACAAATCTAATTCCTTCCAATGGGTTCATGTCATTTGTCATTTGTCCTCCATCATTTGTCAGCATGAGAATATGCTGACAAATGATGGAGGATATCTTGACGTCAATGCTGGTTTGCCGCAAATTTCTGAGTGACGCCATCATTCAATTCAATTCAATTTGTTAAACAACTTTATTGGTGAAGGAGCTACAAGACTATTGCAGTTCGGTATATGACCTATTTGGAACGCTAACTTGAAATTCACTTTAATCGCGGGTTGGGTCACAGTATAAGTGAAACCAATAACTCCATGCAGTGTCGCTGACGATTCCGTTCGCGATGTTTGTGACGGCGGGCACCTCGCTCCTCCCAGCCTTCAGCCTGGCAATTAACATATTCCCGACGGAACATTTGACACTACTGGCCCTCAGCTCGGTCGCCGCACTCTGCCTCCTCCCAAATGTGGCTCTCGTCTTTGCGTTCTGGATCGTCGGCTACTTCGAGAAAAGTGGTGAGTTCCCTCACAAAAGTTCACCCAGTGGTGGATTTTGAACCAGATGAATTTGGAAAAAATAAAGTGGATATGCGTTTAGGCGTCATTCCACATGCTGGAGGTTTGGTTAACCTAGTTAAAATTCCTTCACCCATCTAGTTCTAGGTATACGTATGTGCATGACCAGATGAGACATGCTCCTGATTCCACACCTGATTTGATCCACCATGTCGTTCAGCTCATGTGGATACTGGCAGACGATTTGTAACGCATTTGCCAGGTGTCACTAAAAACAAGCATTTACGCTCTCCCAGGACAGTTTCTTTTTCAAAGACAGCTACAGCAGTGGCATCAAAGTTTTATGGCTGATTCGGAAAAGTGAGCAGAAAATTAGGAAACCCGTTAGAGAACATGCTACAAAAAAAGTTTCCAGAGAATGGCAAAGCACATTTCTACTGTCACCTGAGAGTGATTTCAACAGTGAAAACAAGTTTAAATTACTTAAAACTCTACTTCTTGGGGAAGACTCCGTCTAAAAGAAATGTGGAATCCTTGAAAATGATGTGGGTGATTGATGGTAATGTGATTCTACATCATGCTTAACACATGTGAGCCGATTTTACATTGGTAGCGTTTGTGTCAACTCGTGCTACACGTAGAATGACATAAACAATTCCGGAATTCTTTCCGTTCAAGATTTATTTCAAGAGTGATTTGGCGATAAGGGATTCTCGATCAGTAGCATCTCGAGACCTTAAAATGAGTTGAAATTTGGGAGGGTCTCGATTTCCCGATTTGACAGGAGAGGGGGTGAGGTGGGAGAACCTCTTCGAGAGGACGGATTTCACGAGCCAGATAACGATGGGATTCTTCTTAATCATGTTGTTGGCCGACATATTCATCTACTCGGTTCTGACCGGATACGTGGACACTGTCCGGCCAGGAAAATACGGCTTGGCAGAGCCGATCTACTTCTTCCTCAAGGTGAGTCTCAGATAAAAAATATTAAATTTAATTGTTTGTTCGTGATCAAGTGGGGCAGGTGTGTCGTGGAAACGTGCAGGGTCTGGCTGAAACTTGTGGTGCTTTCTATTGAGCCAAAATAAGAATCTTAATAATATGTTTTGTCTCCCTCCTTCCAAACCCCGGGTGATGGAACTTGAAATGTTCTGGAGCAATTCTAGGTTCAGAGAGTGAGTATCGTGCCCGATTTTGTTCCTCCAGATACTCTCAGAGAGGAATACAAATGCTTATCGGTGAAAGAAAAAAGGAAACAAGGGAATCAAATCGATTATACAAGGGACGTATAGAAAGTTCTGGGAATTCTGTCAGTATACAATAAAACTGAGTTTCACCTATTCTGATAAGAGGTTTTGGATAAAAGCTTACCTTGCTTATTACTGAATTCTTCATCGTTGTTCGAATAATCTCCTAAGCCGAATTATTTATCTCAGTTCAGTTGTATTTTTCAAAGTCATGGAAGACGTGGTGGTAGCTCAGCGAGCGATTATTTTATTTTATTGGAGAGAAGTTGGACGCCGTTCTGGGATTTTTCAGTGGCTGCAGGCGGTCTTTGGAGAATCTGCAGAATCGAAGAGAACTGTTTACCAATGGATGGAGCGGTTTAAGGATGGTCGTTGGACCTTAAAAGACGACCCTCGCAGTGATCGCCGTCGAACGGCTATCACCGATTTAAAAATTTACGCTGCGGAAAATTTTATAATGAAAGATCGATGAGTTACCGATCAGGAGCTTGCAACTACCCTGGGGGTTTGCACCGGCAAGGCTCATGAGATTCTCAATGAACATCTCAGTATGACGAAAGTTTCTGCCAAGCCTCGCCTGTTGAGGTCTGAACAAAAGGTCGATCAAATGGAAACATGCCAAGAGCTGCCTGAACTTAGCCAAGAATATGAGGAGAGTTTTTTCGACCGTATTATCACTGTAGATGAGACGTGGCTTCCATACTTCGATCCTGAAACCAAATCACAATCTAAGGAGTGGTGCCGATATGAAGAAGGACCTCCTTTGAAGGCTCGAACTGTTCCTTCTTTGTGGATAGTTATGATTACGGATTTCTGGGATTACAAAGGGATTATAAGGATCGGTGCTTACCAAAAGGTACGGAAATGAATGTAGAATCCGACAGGCTCTTATTGAAAAACGCCTCAGGAAGTTGCATTTGCAATTGTTTCATCAGCAGGACAGTGTAAGGCCCCACACCGCGCGTCTAACTAGAACAGCCATAGCAAAATGGAGGTGGGAATTGTTCCTGCATCCGCCCTACTCGCCAGATCTGGCTCCCAGTGACTACCACCACTTCGGCATGATGAAGAAGCCCCTGCTAGGAGTGCGACCCCCTCAAAGCAATGAAAGCTGCATCAAAAAAGTGTATCAGAAACACTCCAGACAATTTTTTTCTGACGGTCTATGGAAACTGATTCCTCCCTGGAGGAAATGCATCGAACTCAGGGGGGCCTATGTTGAAAAGTCACCGTATCATGGTGATGAATAAAGAAGTTACCCAGATTATATAAAGAATTCCCAGAACTTTCTGAATGCTTCTCGTACTTATCTCAAACTATTTTCATCAATTGATCAATTTTCCTTACATCCTTTCAATTATTCGTCATTCTGGACCAGTGGCGAATTTGGAGAAACTTTGCCTTTCATCGAAATGAACGATGAACTATAGCGAAATCGTCACGTCTGAGTTTGTAAGAAGCATATTACAAATAAGATATTCAGGATTGTTGCTCTAGTATCTAAGATCAGATCACGAGAAATTCATGGACCTTTGGAATGTTGAGGCCACATCTAGCTAGATTTCCTCCATTTCAGCCGTCGTTTTGGTACCCAACGGAAAAATCTAAAAGCGACTTGGGAGAGACGGTGAGAGGTAACTCTCCAAGGCGAGGACAATATTTCCAAGAGGATCTTCGGAATCGAAAAGCCGGGATCGAGATCGTAAACCTGAGGAAAGTGTACCAGACGAGCAGAGGCGGGAAGGTGGCCGTGGACGGCCTGTCGCTGTCCGCCTGCGAGGGGGACATCACGGTCCTCTTAGGCCACAACGGCGCCGGCAAGACCACCACCATGTCGATCATCACCGGTACGTTCATGAAGAGTTCTAAGATATGGCTATAATAGGCAATTATCTTCAATACAGGCAATAATCCTCACCAGAACGTCCTGAATATTTGAGAGAAAATTCGCTCAACAACAGACAAGTGATAATTGAATTGTTATTGCAATTAGGAGACTCACGAGAGAAGCTAAAATTTGTGAAGGGTACGTCAGCACCTTTTATTAAAACGCAAGTTTTGAAAAGAAAAATCTGGAAAGTGAGGAGAGAAAAATCGTTTCAGTCGAAATATTCAGTCAATTATGTACTTTCAACGGGATTGAAGCTTTCGTCTATCGTAGAGCTGATGAGTATTGATTAATCGCCACCTCAGGGTCAAACAGACTGTAATATACAATGGGCATTATTATGTATATTATTACTTACGGGACTCCCATCGTCAAGGGACATCGAGATAGTGGCCTCCAATTGGCAGTTTCAGTGTAATTTTGCTTGTAATTCCGATTCTTTGTCACTAATAGTCCCTGTTGGGGTCTTTTGACAACGTTCACATGGGATTCAGCACTAGCTGATAATTGAGCGAATGCAAATTTTTTTCTTGATGATGCCGAAACTTTTAGCGATCTAAAACTGACCGAGGGAAAAAAAATAAATATCCAGGTTGCTGTGTATTCTGGCAACAGCTCGGGTGACTCGCTGGGAAGACAAATGCATTACACTTTTTCCAAATTGCTAGAGCCCTATTTTATATCTCGTTGGACATTTTTCAAAACTTAACGTACGATCCACAAAACTTTGCGCTCCTTTCTCACATCCTTGCGTCCGACAGTCAAAAGTGCGTCGCTTTATCAAAATCAAAGTACGTTCTTCAATATTTTAACGTACGGGGCAAGGAATTTTAATAGACGGTCAAGAAGAGACCGTGAAAATAATTCTTCTGAAGATTCCCCTAACCTCAAAATGCGTTCCGGTTACAATATCTCTTAAGGAGGCTGGAATAGAAGCAGAAAGAGTCCCTTCAGTCGGTTTCTCTTAATTTTTAAACTCAAATTAACGTCATGCGAGAAAATGCACAGTTCGGGACCACAGGAAGAAAATAAAAAGACGATAATGTGTTACTGAGGAGAAAACTCCAACTCTCCTGAACTATGAAGATATGATATACATTGCTTCTAATATGGAAATGAAAAGAAATCCACTATAACGAATTGTAAGATCCAATAGACGCAATTTGTAAAACTAGGTAAAAAATTATTAGGTTTCACATCATATAATTTTTTTGTGGGGTCACGAAGACTTCTGGAGTTCAGACATGGGTTTCTATTTTTTTTTTCGAACTTAATTTTTCAAGTATTTTCATGATCCGCTACAATTTCACCATTGAGACTCCCTGTTGGACGTACGGGATCGATAAAACTATGTAAGCTTCTCGCAATTGTAGGCCAGGCTGGAGTAATGCACGATGCCCTCATATACGTATATGCGATTTCTCGATGAATGATGACTTTCAAAACTTAACGTATCCATGCCAAAATCGTACGTACTGTTTTCGAGATTCGATTTCTGCTCCCCAAAAGTCGAAACAGAACGTCCTACAATGAATTTCTAACGTACCTGGAGTCAAAACTTAAGGCACCTTCGACAAAACTCTCAATACGATCCATTACCGTGAATGGGAAGGCGACGAGTCTCGCTGATCAATGCCCGCACTGTCAGCCGTACCTGGCGAAATCGATCAGATCCTCCCAATATATTCCAATGGAGGGTTTGCTACTTTTGGAGGCACGGACGTTAAGTTTTGCGGCGAGTGCCTTAAATTCGTTATGAAGGACACCAGCAACATGTTCTATTGGAAAATATGTTTCGGCGAAGGACGTTTGACACGTATGCCGTATGACAATTTTAATTATAATAGATGGTGCTACATCTGGCCGATGATGTGCTCGTGCCAATACATTGACGTCGTTTCTCTGTGATATTTGTAATTCATGAAATATTTTTACAACTTTGCGTATCATACAATGAGGACTTATCCTCCTGTCCTCCACTTCTACTCTGACTATGTATACAATCCAGACTCGGTTGTTGAGTGGATGTGTATACGGCGGGTGTTTCAACAGTGATCAACCAGGATCAAACCAGCATAGATATATTCCTGTAAAAATCATCAGACCGCCACTGAGATTATTTTGCTTGAGATATATATGGCCGAAGTGCTGCTTGAAAGCACACAAACTTCTCCCCCCCCTCCCATTCTCCCCCTCTCGCCTTCGTTGAACGGGAAATTGGAAATTTCTCCTTCACAATAGATCATGGTTTCTCCCGGTCGAGCCCATTACTAGCTTCCCACACCCTAATGAGGTCAGACCGTTATTCTGAGAAGCCATTTGACTCGTGCCGTCATTCAAAAGGGTGCAGGGCGATGTATCCGGTCGAAAGCCCTTAACGAGGCAATAGAGCGAGCATAAGTTGGAAAGATTTGGAGATCGTAAAATGAGATTTTCCCATGAACATTTATATCTACAAACAAAAATGGGTCCCATGGTCGTAACAATTTTGTAACTTATGATGAACAAAAATGACCAAAGAATGACCTTCATGGGAGCCAGTGCCAGTGCCATCGATGGACAGCAACACTGAACTGGAAGAAGTTCATCAGTGACACTCATCGCGCAGAATCGAAGGCTTTACACCAGATCCATACTTGTTTTCGAGACATGGCATGCTCTCCATAAACCTCTACAACTTGGCGATGGATTTCTGTAGGTTGAGTGCCTCTTGCATGAAGAAACCGAATGGCACTCCGCAGTTCAACGTTTCTAGGAGTGCCGCCATCATAACTGGCATTTTACGCATGCGCAGTGTTACACAGCGATATATCCGCACTTGAAATGGAAGCCTCACCTTCACTGTACTTCGTCACCAAAAAAATTTCTTCGACGCAAATAATAACTTATTCCAAGCAGGCCTTGTTACCTTATTTATTGAACACCCCTCGTATAATGCAACATGGTCCTGTGCACACAGACGCCGTCAGCTCCAGTGAAAGAAGGGAACAGTTTGGATGCAATGTAGTTGCGGAATTCCCAGATTTGCCCTACATGAAAGACGGGAAGAAAAATAAAACCATGTCGGATGAAGACAGGAAGTGGGAAAGGAGGGGGAGGGAAGACCAATAATTTTTTTTTTCTCTTATGTTTCAGTCTTCGGCAAAATCTCATCAGGCGCATCCTGCGGAAGTGGACTGTTCTAATACCCCCTTGATTTTGAAACGAAAATTGGCTAATCACCTCTTTACATTTCTGTCCTCTGTAGTATGCAGGCTTAACATTCTTAATTTTTAAATTGCCCTGGGGAATGTTATCTCTTTACTTAAAGTGAACTGAAAGCAAATTTTTACGTGGACGTTGCTCATTCTAGGGCAGTACCGATGTCTCGGCAAGCAGCGGTATCACAATAAATGGCAGGTTTCCTATCCGGTGCCGATATCGAAACAAAACCGTGTAGAACGAATAATTAAATATATAAAATTACGTGAACGGGCTTGGCAGCTGATTCTTAACGGCAATAATAAAAAATTAGGACTGTCCTGATGCATCCATCGATAAACGAATGTAATCTTCCATAGTTGGAGGCAAGGTGAGTTTCGTTACTCCTTGCGAAGTTCACACATTCCCCCTGCACCCCCAGGTCACAATCGTGAGATTATGTAAGACGGATAGAGGTCCGCGTTCCGATCGAGGCAAGTAATGATGGAAGACCAACCTCCGCGGCGAGAATAGATTCATTTCTCCGGCGCGCACCCCCTTCCCCCTCCCCCCAATGTATCGATACACTATCGATGGTTCACGTCGATGCATCGATGTTTTGAAAACTGCTATCGTGACAGTCCTAATTAATACCAACCTACGACCAGAGCATGAACTCAAAAGCAGCAATGACATGCAGGTGACGTTCGCCGCTCTGGTTCATCCTCCATGGAGGTTTTCTGAAAAAAGGATTCTATTAATAATCTTTTTCCCAAGTGAAAAACATTGAAGTGAAACATTCCTAGGTTTCGGCGCAAACTTTGTGAAATTTGAAGGCTGGTTTGCCATGAGCGTTCATGAGAGCATTTGTCAACAGGTTCTTCTACCGCTTCTCTATTCTGCACAAGCGTTCATATAGAATGGATTTGTAGGAATGTTTTCGACGACAGGAGGCACGGCACTCGTGAACGGCTACGACATCCGCCGAAGCATGGAGAAAGTCCGGGACAGCCTGGGATTGTGCCCTCAGCACTGCATGCTCTTTCCAGAACTCACTGTGGCGGAGCACATCTTCCTCTTCGGCCAGGTTCGCTTATCTGTCTCGCTACCATTCTTCCAGTCCGGGTCACTCCACTAACCGACTGGTTCCGTGCAGCTAAGGGGCCTGACGAAGAAGGAATCTATGAATGTTGGCAGAAGATACGCCGACCGCATATTGATACCACTGGGTTCCCTGGCTCGAAATCTATCAGGCGACATGAAGAGAAAACTTTCCCTCATCATCTCCCTCATCGGCAATACAAAGGTGCTTTCTTGTCGTCCAAATGAACGTTAAATATTTTCCATTCGCATCGAACGTGCATTACGTTTTCATAAAGAGAATATTGTATCGAGTATGACGGCGGCAAACAACGACGGAGACGACACTCCCACAAAGTCATTTTAAATCTACCCAAGTAGCACTGAAACGTTAAATGAACGTTTCATATAATGTGTTGCCAACGTTTTATAAACGTCCTCGGGGACGTTCCTTGACTTTTCAAATGTCCGAAATTTAAAGGTGTGAAACATATTTCAAATCATGTGTCCCTGGAACGTTTATCCAGGACGAAAATTGGATGTTCCGGAACAGCATCAAAGGGTTGCATGCAGAGCTCTGCTCCCGTGGCAGGTATATAATAGGCAATAGCGTACAAAAGTATTTTTATTGGAAGTATCGCCTTTCCTCATTTGGGAAGGATCCTGATCTTAACGTGTGAGTGAAAAACCTTCCTCAAGAGCAAAACTCTCTCCGATTGGTCAGATCCGCAGTTCTTCCACTGCATGTGGAGAAAGAGTTAAGCTACGTTCACACCAACCACATAGAATAGCATGACTGGCAGAATAGCACAGCACCTAAAGATTCTTATTCACACTGGCGTCGCGCTATGAGGTCTCATCAATATGGCGCATCGCGTAGGCTCCTCAGTATTAGGCGCTGGATACATACCTGAAACTTCCAGTGCCTCGGATACAGCCTTTTAATAATTTTCTCGCATGGTGCTATCCTTGAAGTCTTTCCGGGAATGATCGTACAGTTTTGGCCGCATTTGGACTTCGATTATAAGGAGTTCCTCCATGCAAACCGCCATGATGAGATTGAGGGCACAACTCTGCTCGATGGTTGAGCACAAGTTTCAAGCGCGCTGAGTTGAATCTAGCTCAACACTTCTCACAGATCATAGAGACCTGGTTTTGAGCGCACAAGGGCGCTTGTGCTGTTATATCGCCCTATGTTCTGCTATGCGGTTGGTGTGAACGGACCTTTAAGGACGGAATATTTTTCCATCCCTCGCACATCAATCTCCCCAGTAGAAAGAGCTACTCTCCACACTGGAATGTCTTGTTTGGTATTGGATGATTTAGAGTACCAGTGCAAAAGCCCGTGCGCTCACGGGCTGAAATAAATCAAATCATAACATTTCGCGCATGACTTTCTGCTCTTTCTTCATCAGTTTCACTGTTTCTGGAAGTAGCCTGAGTAGCAGCGTTTTGTGAATTTCGATTTTTCTACTTCTATTTCTAGAACTTCTATTTTTCTCTAACGATCGGTAGATCCAGTCACAGAATAGTTTACCGTTCCCTACTTTTTCGGAGCATTGAGAACGCCTAAATGTAAAAATTAATAATATTGAAGCAACAACAAAATGCTGCCAACATACGCCAAGCACTGTCGTAAACCGGCGACGGGACTGGTAACGAGACAAACGATGGCATATGATCATGGCCAGTAGTTACCATAGCCACCACTTCCGTTTCCGACATTGCCTCATACTCTCATTGTTGGTTGTGAGCACACAGCCCAGGAAGGCATTCAATAGAATAAGGGAAGATTCTGAGCTTGGCCGGGATGCAGGTCGACCAGATAGGATCGATCCCGTGTATCGGGCGTGAAGCGAAGTTGACAATCTAGTTTCCGGTCGGGTGCGAGAAAATGCGTCATTTAAGACCGCGAGTTTTGAAGCTCAGAGGACAAAACAGGTTTTGGACAGGTCCGTTAGGTAACCAAGTTCCAGGTCGAGTGCGGGTGATGACGTGTGAGCACACAGCCTGGGAAGCGATCGGTATAATGTTGCTCTTATTGACTGAAATTAGGCCTTATTACATGAAAATGGGACGATTTTTTGGACTTTTGATCCATGAAGCATCGCCTCCGGTAATGGGCTTTCGATTGACATTCCACTCATGAAAATCCGTTCATCCTTCTAAGAGGAGTTTCCCCGGACTGACACCCTGACACAGACAGATTATCCTCATATGTACCAGGTGTTGCAAATAGATAGCCCCCCTCCACAGCCTAAACCATAGAAGCTCGGAAAACATTTAAAATATATTTGGAATCCTTATTCAATTTTGAATCTGTTCCATCCAATTTTGCTTTTCCTGATGTCATATGATGGTGAAAACCTTACATTCAATGATCGCAACCATGCTATTACGTTTAGAGCTTATGATGACGGAGCTGAATTCGTCACCTGTTCATTGGTTTCGGAAAAGATTAAACGTTCAGCTTCTGTCCGATGAATTTTTCAAAGCTTTGATCACTGGCAATTGGCTATTGCTGAAAGACTCAGGGATTGCATTTTTTTGGAAATGCGGAATGGCCAGGAAACTCCCCTGATCCAAATGTAGGATTGGGATTAACCTGAAAGACGGAGTCGCGGCTCATGCACACGGAGGGCAAGCAGCATGGATTCCCCCGGGAAGCCTTGCAAAACGACATCACCAGGGTATTGAAGGCCGTGGAAGCTGACACCGAACTCTTGAAGCGCCTCTTTTCATCTCACCCTGCTCGTATTAAAACTCTCAGAGACCGAGCCAGAAGGCATAAACATTATGTACATGTTTAGATTCGAAAATGAATGCTCTTTCTCATGATGTATGAGTTTTTTCCCTAGCTTTTTATAGTTTAGGCTGTGGGGAGGGGGCTATCTATGTGCAACGCCCGGTATCATGTATTTGCCTATGGATGAGAAATGACCAGGCATCGAATTCACGCAACCTATTACTAAGAAAGAGGTTTTTTCGCGTATAGGGACATTTCCATGAGTTTCAGATTTTCCAATATATTTGTCTTGCCTAGTTTCCTATTCCAAAGGCAGGCTTCGCCACCCTTGTCTCCTCGCACAGAGTGCCCTTCATTCTGAACAGTTCCACCCGAATATGCGTTTATGCGTAGATCTGCGAGGGTCCCTTCGTCTACCCTTGGGGCAAATACGTCATCAGAGACCCGGAGTTCTCAAGCTTAGAAGCCTAAGCGGGTTGCGGACAGGCCATTTCAGCACAACACGATCTGCTGTTAGGAGCAGCAAAATGCTTGGTCGACGATCGCATTCTGGATCGGGTGCTGGCCACGATTCGAATCGGGCCGATCGAATTTCAAGCAGTCAAGTCAACCTGTGCAGGCCTCTGACGTGCAGAAAAACAGGAGAACCCGTAGAAACCATGCTTGCAGCGTACTTCTGAGCTTTTGATGCAATAAGTATCACCTGCAGATCATGAGCTTCCGATTGACACCTCAATTACTAATATTCGTCCATCCCTCTAGGAAGAGTTCCTCGGAATGACAGAACGACAAAATGACAAACAGATTAGCATATTATGTACATGGATGACTTTTTCATACATGGCATACTAATTCTGTGGAGTTGAATATGTGAGTTTGGAATCGAACCTTCTTCCCTCCATCCTCCGGGTCAGAATTTTCTGGAGACTCCTTGAACATGATTATTTCCTAAGACCGATTTGCTGAAGAGTTGAAACATCTTTACCTGTGGTGACTGTAGGGAAAAGGTCGGACACCTCTAGGAAAGCATTGAAAATGATTCCAGCTGTATGAAGTACTAACTCGCTTTAGCCGGTACTTCGGCGGCATCTAACATCGATTGTGTAAACCTTTGTTTGCTTCCAGTCAATACAAATGGATAGCACATTCATGCTCAAGAAAAACGAATCATTAACGTTTAACGAACGTTCATCAAGAACGTCAGGTATTTGTGATCAAACGGCACATTAAGTAAACGTCCAAAAGCAGCTCAACTATGAGCGTCGAAGAACCTCTTTGAGCCGGGGTGGAACGTCCTCCTCAACGTTCCTGTGCTACTTGGGCACCTCTCTCTATCATCCTCGCTAAGTCGGTGAGATAGCAGGTCAAAATGCCACTTTCCACGGGCATTATTCGTCAATTCTGAAATTCTTCCTTTCATAACCGAGAGAAATTGGAACCATCTACGTTGAAGGTGTTTTTTGCAGACTTTGGCCGAAGGCTTCACATTCCAAGTTCCCCTCCCACGCTTCCAAGCGGGATTCCTGGCATTAAATCTGTATCCGAAAAGGTAAGGGGTTAACAATTAGGATCCTTTGGAACGAGTAGCCGATAAAATGCCAGGTAAAAGAGTTTTAACGGTACTCCAATGCTAAATGCTAGCCTCATCAAAGTGTATTAATATATGTATAAACCTCAACGATCTTTGATGCATACTGGATCATACAGGAGAAATATATATACATTGTCTGCTTTTTTGTAGCTGCAGCACTTAAAGGGATATCGCCTGCATTTGCGGTTATGATACGCCACTTTGCAATCTGTTAAGTGTGCTAGGTCTATGCAAGTTAAAACTAAAATAAATTGGGTCAGTTGCTTAGTGTACCTGCAGCCAAACGAAAGGGGAAGTTCGACTTATCACCTCGAATTACCATGAAATAACGTTGGCAAACATTGCGCATCGTAACAGGTAGTGATCCTGGACGAACCAACAACAGGTCTGGACCCCGAGGATCGCCGAATCATCTGGGACATCCTCCAGGTACGCCGCGACGAAATTTCAATTCGGTTTCCTTTCAATTTCCAAATATTTTCCGGGGTGCCAGTGGAGTCGTTCGCTGTGCAGGAAGAGAAACGAGATCGAACAATTCTATTAACGACCCATTACATGGAGGAAGCGGATGTGCTGGGGGATCGTATTGCGATAATGGCCCACGGTCAACTGCAATGCGTCGGGTCCTCCATGTTCCTCAAGAAGCACTATGGTATTCTACTCCTTGTGATGACAATTTTCTAAAGAAATTTGTTTTGAGCATAGTGATAGGACAGATATAGGGACACCGCTGGGCTAACATATTCATACCTTTAAATTACAAAAAAAAACTGAGCAGGGGGCGAGGTTGGGGGTATGCCGGGCTGGGAAAGAAAAAATCGCCTGGAATCACATCTTGTCCAGCAAGAAGGGGAATGAGACAAGGTCGCAGGTAATGTGTGAGACGGGAGTCAAGAATGGTCGGACTGCCATGTGGCTCGGGATCTGCGAGGACGAACGCCGAATCCTTATTTGGCCTGCACAGCTCCAGTATTATTTGGGAAAGGAACTTTTAAAAATGGGGTCAAAACTGACATGCAAATTTTAGATATGGGACCGTGCTGCTGTCTCGATATGACACCAGTCTGTCTCCCCTTGGAGGATGAAGACCAGAGTTTGCTGAAGGAATACACATAGAGCGATCTTATTAATCTAAAGTTATGCCGCATATCTGCGTTTGATATTGGTCTAATGTGGACTTCCTACGTGGGGCCGTTGGACAGGCTTACGAGGGATCAACGATGGTTCCGAACGTGGGGCACATGGAATGGACACATCGAATTTCAACACAGGCCCAACATTGCCCCATCCTGAATGTATCGCAAAGGTAAAGATTCAGGTTTTGGGCGAATAGAATGCCAAATGCGGCACCTGTGCCAAGCCTAGTTTTACTTTTCATTTTGTTGCACTAAGTCGATCACAATATTACGTCGGCGGAATTCTTACGATTTCATCGAATCATTTTTACCCATTTACAACTTTCATTGAGTCAAAATGAAATGCGAAATTCCCATGTATTCTTCAAAATATTTCATTTGGCACCCTAACTAATCACCAATTGCAGGAAACCATTGCTGAAGTAAGCTTCGCTCTTTTCCCCTCCTATTTTCCTGGATCAAGACTCTGGAATGTCGGTAACATATGATTACGATGCAGTCATGACTTGTTAGAATTCTCAGTGAACAGAAAAAGCAGCGATATAATAATAATGTGTAATCCTGGATTTAGGAAGTGGCTACACATTAACGGTCACAAAGACATCGGACTTTCAAGCTGGGGAAGTCCTGTCCATTTTGCAAAATTCCTGCCCGGAAGCAGAGCTAAGGGGCAGCACAGGTAGCGAAGAAAGTTACATGTTGCCCTCCTCCACGGCGCAAGCTTTTCCTTCGGTCCTTGAATCCCTGGAGAAGACGAAGGCTCAACTCGGCATCCGAAGCTTCAGCATCTCCGCCACCACCCTCGAAGAAGTCTTCCTCAGGTTCCCATCCTGTGTCCTAAGTGGGACGGAGTGAATGAGACTGATAGAAATACATTCAATTTCTTCCTCAGAGTGGGGGAGGGAGCAGACACTGAAGGAGGCATAAAACACACTCCAGCCGGTCTCACCGACATACATCATGCCAGCACCTCAAGTGAGAACCTTCCGTGCCCTCCAAATCCGCTGGCATTCTGAGGAATCGAAATTCCTTTTACACCTCGCTCTTTACAATGTTCCTTTCTATTTAATGCTCGAAAATTGTTCGTTGTCCTTTCCCGATTATTACTTTGCCTTTTGTTATATTTCCCTTTATAGGGTTGATGGGGATGGAAGATAAGAAGAGGAGAAATTCTCTCTTCGTCCTGCAGTTCAAAGCCCTTCTCACAAAAAAGTTCATTCATATATCTCGAAAATGGAAACTAACGATTGTCCAGGTGGGAATACGGTCCTCTTTTTAATTTGGTCATTGGGTCAATCCATCCTCATTTGGTCATTCCATCAGCATGAGGCATTTTTCGCTCTACTCATAGGTCATCATACCTCTGGGGTTGGTCCTTGGAGCTCAGTTAGCCGTCAAAGCCGCGATACCGGTCTCAAATCCAGAGTCCTTCACATTGGCCATGAATGTTGACATCTACGGGAAGAACTACGTCCCGTATGAAGTCTGGCCTGGTCTCGATGAAAAACTCATGAAATGCTTTCTCGATGGATTGCCGGGTATCAGCACGCCTGAGATGACAGTTTGTGCTCGCCTTGGTGCAGTTCTCAGTGCATATCCAATTCCCGTCAAAATGTCGAGATGTTGGGTTGCGTCAATATGGTAGCAATTTTTAAAGTTTGGTTATGATGATTCTTCCTGGTTATTCCTTTTAGAGCTCAGAGGGAGAGAACTTCATCCAGTACTTGTGGGGAGTCGGGACAAAAGATTGGCTGACCTACCAAGCCCAGTACGTCATCGGCGGATCCCTATCCAGGAAGGAAAGGCTGATAAATGGGACTCAAAATTTCACAGCCTTCTATCAGACCGCCCCGCTTCACAGCAGCGGGATCGCGGTGAACCACGTGAGCGACGCCATGGCGAAGTTCATCCTCGGGACGGAGCATTCTATCCTTGCTTACAACCAGCCTCTCCCAGACAGCTTCAGGGGCACTTTGGTCTCAGCATTTCATTGTTGTTGAGGCGATCGAAATTGATTCCAAGGAACTAATTTCTGGCGATATTTCCAAACAGGATGACGCGATCTCAAGTTTTCAGGGGAAAACTTCAGATCGCTTGAATGAGGATGAGCAAATTTTTTCAAGCATTGCATTCGCCAGCATGCTCGGCCTGGGGATGTCCCTCTTCGCCAGTTCCTTCGCCCTTTTCCCCGCGGAGGAGAACGAGTCGACCTCCAAGCAACTCCAACTCATGACTGGGGTCAAGTCCTTCATCACCATCTCCATCTTACGGGCGTCGGTCGCGAATGTAGCACGAAATGTTTGCAGGTGCGGCCGGAGTGGTACTGGGTGGCGCACTTGATGGGGGATGGGGTCGTCTTCCTCGTCGTTTGTGCCTTGGTTGTTGGGATCATGGGCGGAGTCGATGCCGACGACATCTTTGCAGATAGTTATGGGAGTCTTGGTCAGTTTATTTATGTTATCAGTTCATGCGGACGGAAATTAAAAGTTACAGGGTTATGATGAAGATTCGTGTCATGCTGCTCCTGCTTTGCGAATATGGAATAACTACTGACATGGGTTTCAGAGACGGAAAAAGACACTTTCCATTTTCCGTTTTTCCTCATTTCCGCGCTTGAATATACAGGGTACGTCAAAATGCTCTCATTTTTGGTGAGTCGTCAATCTCATAGTAGGCTGCCGATTCGGAAAAAATTGTGTAGACTCTTAGGGCGACTTAATTGGTGTTGGTTTACCGAGTTTCAAATGAAAATGCCAAAAAATGTGAGAATGCCATTTGATTTACTTTTCATTACCAAAAAGTACGTGTTCATTTTTTCTTAAGCCGGACAATTTTTTAAGACTGACAAAATAACCAATAAAATAAAATAGACGAACATAAAAAACGAATACTCACAATACGGTTTAGGTAGGTTCATTTCAATTGAAAAGGTGTTAATTTGCCCTCTATTCTGTTTTAAAACAAGTGTGTGGTGTCTTGGACACCGCAGATCAATGGCGCGATGAATAAATCTGTGAGGCCGTGCATCTCTATCTTCCTCTTTGGCATCGTGCAGGGATGGATGGCCATTCATTCCGTCCTCCCATTCATCCCGGCCTCACGATCATATTGCTATTTTCGACAGCACACTTGGTCTTGGGTGATGAGATCACAGATAATAGTTTTATAATTTTAAAGACAGCAGGCTGAAATTCGGCATAAAATCTCCAATTGTATTACCCCAAGTGCCTACCAAATTTCATCATAAACGGCAGCCTACAATCAGATTGACAACTCACAAAAAATTAGAGAGCTTTGTTTTTCTTTTGGTCCACCGTAGATATAGCAATGTATATATATATATATATATTATAAGATAGAATTTCGTAAGCTGATTTTCAGAGGAAGGACAGCATTCCATACTGAACAATTTGGACATTTTCTGATATATGTAGATTTTGAAAAGTGAACAAAAGGGAATAACCCAAGTGATTGAAAAACATCTATTCAAAGATTCATTCATAAGCAATCCGAATTATGGTCTCAATTTAATTTTAAATAATTGATAATTCGTGCCATTTTACGTGTGAAATGATTTTTATAGGGAATTTAGATTTCCATAGCAAAAACTGAAGGATTTTTGCATATGGTCAGATGGAATTTCTTCATTTTCTTTGAGAACAGACTCCTTTATGGGATTTCGGGTTCAGAAAAAAATCCATTGAAATACGAGTTAATGTTAAAGTGGATGATCACAAAAGGGCGACCAAGAAGGACCAGGCTAACATGAAATTCAATTGATGTTATGTCACAAACGGGCAGGTTCCTTGGTCTGTCTGCTGCTGATGTACGGCTTCGCCGCCCTTCCTTTCACCTACGTCTTCAGCTTCGGCTTCAAGAATAGTGGGGCGGCATTCACCGTCCATGCGCTCGTTGATGTCTTCCTCGGTCTGGACGCATTCCTTTGGCTCTTTCTTTCGCCGATTCCCTCGCGAATGTTGACGCGTTCCCATGTTTTCGCTAGGGGTGTCATTATTGACAGTCGAATTGGCTTTCGAGCACGATATCCGTACATTCCCGGGGATCCGCAAGGCCCTCGGGAGCCTGTTCCCGTTTTTCGGTTTCGGACACGGGATCCTCAACCTCATACAACTGGCCTACGAGAACGGGCGATGTGAGGCAATTGGAAACAATGTCAGGAGCTTTTTATGCTCCACGCCCAACATAACTAAATATGCAGACCTCACCGTCTGTTGCGGTGAGTGACTCTTTAATTTCAATCCATTTCCATTTGCATTTCGATGGTGTCTGGATTCTACACTTTAATGACCCTTACTAAACGTCCACCGGGGAGGAGAAGAACATCCCCCCCATGGATTTGGAATCAGGTGGACTTCCCTCCGGGTGGAAAGCAAACAAGATCGACGTCCTCCTGGTTCCAAATCAACTGTAGGGGAGAGGGATGCCCAGGTGGAATTCCACCCAGTGGGACGTCCACTTGGTTCCAAATCCACCTCTGGGGATATCCAGAGGGATAAAGCTCATCTCGATTCTTTTCCTCCCAAATTCTGTTTGGAAAATAACCATATTGTATGCATTTGGATGCGCAAACAACTATGACCAAGAAATGACAGAGACGGATACTAACAGAGAATTTCTAGTGCCTTCCCTTACAATGCCTTTGTTAGAGCCATGGAATGAAAGCTGAGATGCATTCCTCTCGAATGAAGTCGTGATCGACTATGGAAAAGCTAGCTTCACTATGTCAATCAGTATTAGGTTCGGAATGCCTTCCACAATCTTGCGGAAAATCGAAAAGGACACAGGTATGAGTGACCAGAATTCGTACCGTTACCCCGACTGACTATTGTTTTCTAAATCTGCGCTCTGACGAGCATCGGGAATCGTTATACTGTATTATCCCTTGGAGTGACAGCGTCGACGAAAGTGCATCATATTGGAAGGGTGCGGTATCGTTCGGTAAGACCTCTCACAGGATCGGCGGAATTGTTGCCGATTCGGTGAGATGGGTCGCGCCTCGAGAACGCGACCGTCAGGAATTTCCGGATCTATCGCGTCGAGAGCAGGCGTGCGTAGCACGGCGAGGTGCGAGTTGCCGAGTCCAATCAGCGACAATAATCACGGTGAGGATAATCACATCGTTGTACCTGCGAAATATTCTGAATGAATGTACTTTCATGTGATATAGTCATCACCAACCCAGACCTTCTAGTTGAGGCTGCACAAGGGAGGGAGGTAATCATTGTTTGGGACCCCATATATATCAATAGTAGCCATCTGACTCGAGATCTGCATCGGGACACACAATTGGGGAAAAAAGGAAATGCCTGAGGGTCGATTCGCATTATTTGACGATTTCCCCATCGTGCATGGTTCTCCCCTCATAGTCCATAAGCCATATTTGCTTTACACGGTTCAACGACAGTAATGAAACATTATTTACAAAACAGAACTCGAATGAGAGAATCCCGGGCGCGTGAGATTATGATTAAATGAAACGTTTGGGACCATGCACAGTTCGTCCGAGAGGGTTACGTGAAGAGAGAGGATAGAATTGCGGAGCCGGTAGACAACGGACTGGACCTTAATGTAGCGGTCAGTCATTCGATCACGGAAGGAAACGACAGCGTCTGAAGGGGTAGTATCGTTCGATTTCACATTAAGAAGTGTGGAAGATGGAGAACGAACACAGGCTGTGCGCGAGAAAGGAAAAGCTAGGAAAACAGGTAGACGGAGATAGAAGGTCAGCATCGAAGTTGTGTCTGGGGAAGAATACTCCTACGGTTGAAGAGGAGGTCACGCGAGCACGTGTGCACTGACCCGCCACATTCGATGCTATGCATGGGCATATTCATACCTGTCACTCATGCACCAGTTGCGCCTGTTATAGGAGTCTATCCAATTTCGATAGCCACACGGACGAGGACGTGCAACGTTAGGCTTCCCATCCTCTAGGACACGTGGGACATCATGATGATGTACCTGATTTTCGGTGATGGATCCGTCTACCGTGGTGCTCATGAGAATTTTTGTTTTCCCACGCTCGACAATTGTAACTTCTTTTGTCGCACCTTATAGCAATAGCATATCGAAAATATGACTATCACGACGCGCGAATGAGAGTCAGGAACCAACTTAAAAGCAAAACCGCCAAGGTCATTGAAGTATGAAAACAGGTATCCGTGGCCATGAGGACTAGACACTTGGCTGGATTTCCTCGTGATCTAGTGTCCCTCACCAGTACGGAACCATAGATCGCTAACAACTCAAAGGTCAACTTTTTTCATGTGGGGGCTTGGATATTTCTCTTTATTATACTGTATCTTCTCCACAAAGACCATAGCTTAGGTTGCCCGGTGGAAGAAAAATAATTACATGGATGCCACTCTCAGGAGCGTGGAATGAGATCTTTGATTTCTCCACACCTTCATAAAAATACTGTGTAACTTACAATTTGTTTGAAGCGGTTTCTGCAGCGATAGGGTTGGAATATGCCCAGTTTCATTTCTGAGATTCATCCTCTGAAAGAAAAACGAGAAGACTATATTTTCTGATGGGGAACAGGCGCTAAAGAGCCTATCAATTCACATTCCGAGCTAGATTCATTATAAACATTTTTATTCTGCTGTTTTTGTGGTTGAAATTGCATAATGTTATGAAATTAGAAAAATTGGCGGAGGATCTCCATGGCAAAACCGATCGCGATAGTTATGTAGTAGATTTATTCTCCTGGTATTGCTAGTGGACGAATGAGAATATATTCATCAATTGGAAAATCATGCTTTTTATTTTCTTTGAGCGAAGGCAAACGCCATATTGCTCATCCTGTCCGGCGGGGGGGGGGGGGGGGGGAGGTCTGTAAAACGGGCTCGAAACGGTGCTTGGGTGAATCTCTCGTAAATCGGGGGGGGGGGGGGGGGAACGCGAGCGACCATCTCCTTTTCCTCTTGTGATCCACCTGTAATCCACCTGTCGTCCACCCCCGGTGGATGCAGGTAGATTATAGGTGGACGTTTTGTAAGAGGATTAGATTTAGTGCAAGGATAATTCATTTTGCTGTGAATTCTCTGCCTACCCTATGAACGTATTTGCACACGGATATGTGCCTTTCCTTAGCCTGTCTGAAAATGAATTGTAATGCAACACGCCTGATCGCTGTAAAACGTATTCTAAATTATTTCACATGCTCGGCCAATACTCCTACTCCAGCGGATGAAAAGCATATGAATATTCCATGTTGCCATTAAACATGTTATTTCTAAATTCTCAGTGGTATGTACTTGGACCCAACAGACAACTGCATGGAATTGCCCAACGGTTGCTTCGAGTCCAAGAGGTACATCAGTTTGGAAGGGTTGAACATCGGGGAAGCCATTATCATGTTGGGGTGCTCGGGTCTCTTCTGGTTCGTCTGCCTCTTCCTCCTCGAGCATCGGCACCCGCAGCGACTATGGGGCAGGCTATTCGCATATTCGGTGGCGCATGACACCGAGACGACTCAAGTGGACGAGGATGTGCTCCGCGAGGAAGAGCGGATCCGGGACCTTTTCCAAAAAGGTTTTATTTCCTTCTGGGCGCGAACTTCTAGGGGGAGGTGTTAATCTTTTTTCAATTTAGTTACGTTTCGAACGTTGCATTAGATTCATCATTAGAAGGAGAAGACATTAACGAGAGCGCCATGATTTTAACTTAGTTTAGTGAACTCCTTCTAGACGGATGAACGAATTTTCATGAGTGAGTTGTCAGTCGAAAGCTAAGAACCTGGAGCCGATACTTCAAAGGCCACTTTTCGTTATCTACGAGTCAATATATTGGGTTGTAACATATATTCCCGCCGTTTTTATATTTTGTCTGTTTTCACTCCATATTTTTGAAGTTTGGCAAAGTGGATATAGTGATTCGAAAGAGCGTTCTTTCCTCTACAAACTTATTGCCACCATTTTTCCGAATAACATAATTTTACTTAACTTTCAGGTATTTGAAATGGAAATACCAGGCGGCAAGAAAACCCATTTTCGACACTTGCTTTATTTCGCGTTTCGCCGTAATCAAAAAGCAGCCGAAGCAGCTCGGGATATTTGTGCCGTTTACGGAGAGGGTGCTATAGCTGCGAGGACTGCTCGAAATTGGTTTGCCAAGTTCAAAAATGGCAACTTCGACCTGGACGACACCCCTCGCTTTGGGTGACCTACGGAGTTCGACGAAGACCATTTGAAGGTGCGTAACCTTCGATAACGACGAGCACCTTGAAAACTGGTTTAACAACTTCTTCGAGTCCAGGCCCGGCGATTTCTGGCGAAACGGTATTGATAAATTGGTCGAGAGGTGGGAGGGAGGTCGTAAACAATGACGGAGAATACATAATTGACTAATTTGTTGTTATGATTGCTGTAACTTTCAATAAAACTTTTCAATAAAAAAAGGCGGGAATATATGTTACAACCCAATATTTATTATGGTTGGTCTCTTTTTTCCAAAAACTCCAAGGTTAGAAAAAAAAGTGGAATGAAATTCACATCTTCCAAAAACGAGATTCAGTGTTCTCCACAACCCTAAGGAGAGAGAGTTTCGAATTTGCTGGAACTATTTTGTATCGAGAGTGGAAGTAGCAAGCTAAATGTACTTCCTGTTAATTCTCTCGGAGACGAATACGAGGAGGTGGAATTTTACCCCATCCTTACAAGAAACGTCGAGCGACTAGCGTTCATGACCCTTAGAGATCTCCCATATTTTGTGTCAGACTTGAGATCCAGACCCTCAGATTCAGATCTAATTGCCATGGTAATCTGTTATATATTTATTGTATGCATCTGCATTATGCAATATGCACTTGTACTTTTCATTTTCGTCTGTTGTCCGCATGCATCCAGACAAATGAGACGCTGTACATCAGGCTTGTAGATCCCATCTGATAATTAAAAGGCAGTGTCGAAATGATCCAATGAAAATCGCTTTCATTTTCTGTATGTGCGAATGATCGCAAGAACAAATTATCATTGTCATTTTTGCTGATTCTGGTTTGATTTCACTACGATATCCTCTTTTCATCCTCAATATTCAACCTTTCCAGTCCCACTTGATATGTTCACATTCATATTCGTCGATTGCAGGAGACACCAAGAAGGACGCCCTGCTGGCGGTGGGGCTAACTAAATCCTTCAAACGCTTCGTTGCTGTGGATCGCTTGAACATCGGGGTCCACCACGGCGAGTGCTTCGGACTGCTGGGCGTGAACGGGGCGGGGAAGACGACGACGTTTAAAATGCTGACCGGAGAGGAGGTAATTACCTCGGGCGGGTCGTGCATCTTGGGATATAGCCTTGGCGTGGACCCAAGAAAGGTGGCAAAATCTCGATTCGCATTTTATCGAATTATGGTGGGTGTAACTGAATTGTGATGGTGTCACTGCAGTACCTGTCTCACCTGGGCTATTGCCCTCAATTCGATGCTCTGGTGAATGTGATGACCGCGAAGGAGACACTGCTGATGTATGCCCGACTTCGAGGGGTTCCGGAATCCGTCGCGGAACCACACGTCGACTCACTCATTGACAAACTTGGTATGCACACTCGTCGAATAGAACTAATACGATATCCAGTAATCGTAGCATCTTATCTGAATGGTGCCAATTGACTCCGGAATGACTCCGGAAAGTATGAAGGAGTTTGAGATTTTTTTTCTCTTGGGGTACATTCGTGGTAAATTCGAACAGGACTGACGGAATACAAGAACAAGCAATGCGGGACATACAGCAGCGGAAGCAAGCGAAAGCTTTGCACAGCCATTGCCATGGTGGGGGAGCCGACTTTGCTGTTACTGGACGAGCCGACCTTGGGCGTGGATCCCGTCTCCAGGCGCAAGATCTGGGAGGCCCTAGTTGATTGCACCGACAAAGGCCAGAGCATCGTGCTCTCCTCCCATAGGTAACTGCCGTCTCGTTCACTGTATGCCGTGAAGACCTTCAATATAAACTCAAGCACTTCAACTATTTCCTTTGGAAGTCCATATCGGAAAAAAATTGAAGCTCCTGTAGTTTACGACTAAGGGAGGCTATTTGAAGAAAGTATTCCTCATGCATTTTCTTTCCATTCTCATAACTTATTAGAATGTCGCTTTTGCGAATCATCATCGTATTCGCAGTAAGGAAATAAAACGGCATTGACGACATCGTGCCGCAAACCATATGATTTAAAGATAATTCACTTCCAGAAAGCTCTTCTACGCACTCTCCAGCCGCATTTTTCTATCGAAATAGAAATACATGCTACTGACCCTCTAATTCAAGATGAATTCATTCACTGTGTATAAATGAAAATGCATTACAATAGAACGATTTACATTCTAAGGGTTACTTGAGCCCCATTTGAAATTGTTGCTAGCATGGAGGAATGCGAGTACTTGTGTCACCGGCTCGGGATCATGGTGAACGGGCGGTTCCGCTGCCTGGGCAGCCCGCAGTATCTCAAGGACAAGTACTGCCAGGGATACTCCATCAAGGTGAAGACGAAGATGTCTGCGTCGGCAGAAAAGCTCGAAGAGCTCAAAGCCTTCCTCGTTCAAACCTTGGGAGGATCCTTCCTTCGCGACGAATATATGGTGGGATTATATTATTATATTATCGATTATTTTATATTATTTCTCCTCCATTGAATGCGATCACTAAATCGTGTAACTTATTGCTATACTCGTCAGCAATTGCAACAGGAGTGCAACATGTCAATGAGTGCGAATATTATAGGTTCAAGAATGGTTGTGGAATGGAGATATTCCGAGTGGCAGGGATTTATTTTTCAGAAAATATCCGGTTTTCAGACGATATCCCTGGCTGCTTTCCGTCTAGAATAAGGCGAAATTCACTTTTGAATTGCATTTCGAAAGCAAGTCTATCCATGAAACAGTAGAGCTGGTAGCTGATCGTGGAAAGATTTGTAGATTTGAGGAAGGATGGGATATATTTGAACGACTCCTGGAGGTTGTAGTGATTGGCAGCGATTCTATCTCCTTCCCAGGGAATGCTAAACTTCCTAGTGGAACGCCGGGATGTGACATGGGCCCAGCTCTTCTCGATTGTGAGGGATATGAAGACGAGATTCGAAGACGTGGTCGCGGATTCTCTCGTCGGGGAAACGTGTCTGGAGGATGCTTTTCTTTCCTTCACCAGTGGGTAGGTCCAGCAGATGCTGTAGGTCAAGTGCCGACTCTGCCTTTGCTACGGCAAGTCCCAGTGAGGATAGACTAAAATGATACTTTTTCTGGGAATTCATTTTTTTTCTCATTCCTCCAGCAGGTTTTTAAAGTGCATGGTCTGGAAACGATTTTGGAGTTGTGACACCCTCTACCATGAATGCAGATTGAATATTATGTTGTTATTATTCTTGTTAAATTATTGCTCTACGAAATTGTATGTTGTGTTTCTGTGTTCATTGCGCTCTAGTGGACAAACGGTTAAATATGTCGCGGAGAAATTTTGCACCATCACTTTTCGCCATCAGAAGACTCAATTATGGAACTTTTTCTCGAGCGCATTATTTCCCTAATTTTTTAAGGAAAAAAAAATTAATTTCGCAAAGTAAACCAAATGCGGATAAATCATATTAGGATCGTTGGAGTCACCAGAGACTGAATGTTTCGTTTTAATATGAGGTAATTATCATACATATTGTCATGTTATTATGAATCCATACTCCATAATCATGTATTTATTGCATACTTTTCCAAGAATAGGTATTTTATTGACTACATCTGGATTTTCACGCTTTTCCTATTTGTGGACGTCCTGGTTCTAGTTCATGGACATTCACAGTACCAGTATGTGGACGGAACCAATTTTTTTTTACAATCACGAACCGGGATAAGTGTCATGAGAAGAAATTTCCGTGGAATGTGTGCAGCAATTTTATTCATCGTCACTGAGATGAAAATTGAATAAAAATCACTTATTCTGCACCTCTTTTTTTTGCAAGCAGTTACATTTGCGCCCATTTTGGCGAATCCCAGCTCAATGCAGTCTACATCCTGATGCGCTTTCTCCTATGAAGTTCACCAAACCTTGATCTGATCCAGCAAAAAACTACTCCGTTAAACTCCATTAAAAGTTTCTCTTTTTTTCGTCAAAATCCTTTTTTTCGGTGATCTCGGACCTCCTCATTGAAATATCAAGCCTCCGCTTCTTGAATAAATTGAGACATCTTTTTTCTATTAAGATATTTAGAGGCCTATTTGCTCCTCTATTATCAATAAATTTCCTTGCAAAGATAGTTCTTGACGTGTATTTTCGTGCTCATAATGTCATCATATTAGCCACCTGTCCCCATTGCTTTCAGAGCATTCGCCCGGATTTCATCCACACCAAGAGACTTCTCATTCTTCAGGCTTCTTCAGACTTCAGGCTTCAGGCTATAGTCCTCAATGGTTCGCGCGTCCCAGAACCATGAGCCTGTTTTGACATTTCATTAGTCTCTATTGCTGATAATCCCAACTTGATGCGATATTGGATATTGATTCGTTGTTCGATGTGACCGTCTCACATTTCCATGACAAAGAAATTTGACCCTGACTGCTTTAAAGATGCACCATACTTTAACGGGTGAGTCTATTGAGATGCTTGACGTAACTTCTCTGCCGACATTGCCTGAACCTGTCTGAACTCGTCTGGGTTGTAAAACGTCCGTAAAAAGATCAGTCTCGTTAGTTTTCGTCGCACCTCTTAAAAGTCCTTTTGTGATTTTACATCCGGTCATTTCTCATCCACGCTTACGTTAAGTCACAATAAATAAAATACAAAAGCTTTCAGGGTAAAAGTAAAACGAAGAAAGCATTTTCCTCCGGTTTACGAACCATCCTTTTCTTTTAAAATATTTATGGGCAGACTCCGGATATTAACAGGAACGCCGGATATTAACAGGATACTAGCGACGGATGAGTTTAAAAACTTGGAAAATGCGCCGTCACGTTCGTGGAGTCGACGTGACCGGATGTCGTCTTTCTGGGCGCCTGGCTCTGGGCTGCAAATGAGATGCTTATCATCTGCTGCTCCAAAGTTTATTCTCCCTACCAAGAATGAGTCAGATACATCCTCGTAGAGAGATGTTCATCTGCATGAAAGATGAAATAATTATGTTCATATAATGTCCATGGAATGAGGTGAAAATTGCAATCCTTTCACTTCGGACTCCTGGTCAGAAGTACCGGAAGTTTCCTTCCTCCAATTTATCTCTTCGTACGGATCTATCCAGGAATTCCAAAGTCGTCAGACTTTGTATGTTGTGCTAAGAAGGAAAGGACGACTTGTGACTGACGAAACACGATATTTATTTCTCTCGAGAGGAAGCTCGCAATGCGATTCAGCCAGAAACTTTCCTGAGCGAATCCCCGTCGCTGCAATTACTTTCCTGGGCTACTCGCGCTGGGATTATTTTCTGCAGAAAGTGAGGCATGACGTTCCTGACCCTCGAGTTTCCTGACGGAAATTCGCTACTGATTTCCATCTACCCCTCATAGTCTAGATTTTAATACTCACTTTTTAAGCTAGACTACATGCTTTCGTGCAACTCTCAACTGCCGACATTTTCATCGACTGAATTCAATCAACGTGAAATTTCTCAATTTCATTTTTTGACTTGGATTTTACCTGATGTTTCTATGACAATTTTCAGATAATGCATTTTAAATGTACGTGATATTTTTTTGCAGTATGATTCGGTGGTTCAGTAAATTGCAAATATGATGCCGAAACTTTCTCGAATCTGAGGCAGATTGATGCGACTTTGACTCGGATCGGGCTCTAGGCGCTGACGCTAACGCGCGGCATGACATTAAGAAGAGGCTTCGTGTGATACATGAGATTTCACTAACTGTTCTTTTGGCCCATTTACCCGGCGGCGTGTCCGGTACGACTCGGGTGATCATGTACTTCATCACACTTGAACCTACAACCTCTGAAGGGTAGCTAGACGCAAGCTCCTCAATCGAAAGACACGTACACGCTTTATCCTCACCCCTTGGACTGTTAAACCTATTTAAAGAGATAGATTTAGAAATTCGAGTGTCTTCCATAACTTTCTTTGAGGGGAAATATTAAATACCGCATGAAAAGTACTGAAGTCGTATAGTTAATGAATCACTCCCTAATTCCACTGAAATAGCGGCTACATAGGTGCCAACTCTCTTCATTTGTGGGAAACGCTTTGTTCAAATAACTAAGATAGATGTCTCATCCAGAGATATAACAAATGTTGCCTGTCGCCCTGGTGCCAATGTGGGCCTACATGGACAGCCCACAAGTAGGTGGGCCAACGTTCCCCCACTCACAGCCAGCATGAGCCCAACGTTCCGTGCTGCCTGGAGCGAAGAAAGTACCAAGGCTCAGTAACCCCTGACTTAGCTGCAACCTTAGGCAGGAAAAGGCAAGGTCATCGTTTCTTCGAACTCCGAAAAGTCTTTCGGCCACTCGACCTCACGACCTCGACATCACGAGACTGCATCGTGCCGATGTGAGGGCAACAGCTGAGACGAACGAATGCAGTCAAAAGGCAGAGAACTGATCGAAATCTGAAGTCGCAACGTTCGTGGATGCCAAATTTTCTCGAGCGAGGTTTCGAGAACGTGGGTTCGAGCAGTTACCCCAACCATGCCAGAGTCGCAAATGAACTCCCATTTGATGATTTTTTAAACTTAGAAATCACATTTTCGTTTCATTACTTTCTGGTATCATATTTCTTTTTTGATAGCTTCTTCAGGAACGAAATTTGACACTTTTCTTACCCTCTCAAAACAGAACCGCTCAAGAAAATTTAATATGCAATCTCCCCGAAGAAGACCCCATTTCGGTTTTTGAAAGTGTCAGTTGCATTCCAGTTTTTTTTCTCCCTCACCTAGGTGGCCACTCTTGGGAGTTTTCGAAGGAAGTAACCCTAACAAAAGAAAGACATTGACCTGTAGATCACGTTCTTCGCGTTGGGGGAGGAACTGCAATGAAACGATGGACGCCCGAATTCACCGACATCATCTACACTTCCTAACTTACGGAGGCCTGCACTTCCTGAACCAAAGTATGAAAGGTACAGGACTCGATCATTATTCCCTAACACTCTCTCTTTTAGAAGAGAGGGAGGGAAAATGGATCGCGTTATTTTTGAAAGTAGTTAAAAGGAGGTACTGAATAATCGCGTTTGTGAGTAGAACGTACAGCACCTCCATGATAGGGATGCAGCAAATACTCATATATTAACAACGGGAGGTTGCGCAATGATAATGAAATCCCATTTATTATGCAGTATTTCGAATCGAAAGGAGCCGTTTTTGACCAATGAAGGGAATTAAGGAAAATCCGAATGAGACGAAAATTACTTTCGTGAACGGGAACCCGATTCCCGACGATGAAATGAAATTTTCCGAAAAATGAGGGGAAAGTTCCATTACTCGCTTTATTCGGACAGATCGATTTCGAGGTTCTATCGGAACAGCAGATTTACGTTAAAAATAGGAGACGTGGTTTCCGCTATGAATCGGAATCCGTTTCTCCGCGCACTAGACGGAAACACTGTTTCCGATGCCTTAGTCGGAATTATTTTTTACAGTGTGGTTGTCCCGTTGCTGTTAATACATCAAAAGAAAGGCAAGAAGATGTTCATGGGAGATACCAATACAACTTTCGGGATCAGTATTTTCAGTCCATAGCCCGTACTCTACTTGAAACCCGAATTACGACTCAACTTCAACCGACCCGACCCGAAGAAATATCTTGGGAATTTCGACTCTAGACTGTTCTGGCCTGGTAGATGGTCGGGTCGCGGCTGATCGTGCCGGATCCTCAGCCCGTACGGGGGCCGTATTCTATTATTTGCTTAAGCAATGTTTCTTGCCATAAGATGAAACTTCTTAAGAGAACGTCTCAGCATGACACTTAAGTTCCTTCTAGTTTCTATTAGATTCTTATGCTCAGCCATTTGCTTAAATCTACTGTCAACGAGTCTTAAATTAAGACATCTCTCTGCTTGCCTTAAGTTCCCTTCGAAGGCATTTTACCAATATGGCTGCCTTCATGCGAGTTGCCAGAACTCGTACTACTGAAATTGACTGTCGCGTATTTCGAGACAGAACCAATCCATTGGATGTGTACAACGATGAAGAGCTATAGCGGAGATTCAGAATTCACCACCCGGGGATTTGCTTCAGTGTTGACACGTTGCATCATGAATTGGATGGATCGCACACTAACCACTTCATCCCGCCTGTGATTCAGATGAGTCTTGCCTTAAGATTTTCTGCAACTGGAAACATGCAGCTTGACGATGGAGATAGATGTGGGGTTTCACATCCATCTGTCAGTAGAGTCATCAGGAAATCATCTTTGGTGTTGGAGAACAAGATGCCAGAGCTGGTGTCATTTCCAAAGGCAGAAGAGGTATCAGCTTCCAATCAGCCTTTTCCAGAATTTCTAGTTTCCCTAAAGTTATTGGGTGTATTGATGGTACCTAAGTTCGATTCCAACGTCCAAGAGAGAAAGAACCAGGGTTCATCAATCAGAAGGGTTACCACTCAATGAACGTAATGGCAATGTGTGATGTCAACAGCTGCTTCACC